CTCTCGATATGGACATAAACGCGAGTGAAGTCTAATCTGACAGGACGGAGACACGCAGCTGCATCACAGCGGGAGGAGCAAAACACACACTTCAAGTCAGATCATCACCCTTAGCTATTTTAATTACCTCTCAAACTACCTAAACTAGTTATAAATATGTTTATTTTTACTGTCGGGTCACTCATTACTGGATCAGCTGCTGCATGAGACAGACACTGATGCTGTCAAGAGAGGGAGGAAAAAGAGAGGCTCCGTGTATTTTATTATTATATATATAGTTGTTATTCATTTGTTTTAAAGCTCAATAAATAACAAAGAAGATCTTTGACCAGCACTTTTATAATTTTGTCCGGAAGATTTAAACTTTTACACACGTTGACCCGCGAGAAACTCTGCCCGGTTACAGCGCCACGTACAGGCTCGGCATATGTACTGCAGCTTTTTCCAGCGGTTGGAGCTAAACGGAGCTGTCTCGTGTGAACAGACACTATCCGGTGTATATTGCGTGTGGACGGAAGCTTTTTTGCGATTGCGTTAATCCTATGCGTTTTGCCGTATGCGTTCCCGTGGGGCAAGCACCTTAAGCTATACTTTGTGTTTTGCCCTGATTAGCAACTGTTTACATGCAAACCCGATACACTAGGAGAGTGAATATGGTAAATATCCTACTTCACATTATTTCTGACTGAACATCACTATGTTATCATTGTCACTGTTAGCAGGATAGAATGCTAACAGGATAGCCTCATGTAGTTGCTAGCAGGCCACATGTTTAGATCAGAAAGACAAAGCGAATTGTTGCAACCAGCAATATTTATTTATTCAAAGATCCTTTTACTCCTTTTTACTTAATTTTCATCATTATTATATGAAGGCACACTTTCACCCTCTTAGGCCTTAAAAGTGATACGAGGAGGATGAAAATAGAGCTTCCCCGTATCAATCGAGGAATGTATGGGCCGTGACATTGTCGATCAGGGAGCAAGTGGAGAGGAACAATGTGTGCACCGTCACCCTGTATCCCATTGTTCTGGCACAGAGTAGCAATAGTCAGACGTGTTATCATTGTCCTCAAAGATGTAGGCTCATTAGGAAACTTTTTGGGGGAATGTTGTAAAAAGTCGAGTTTTACTCCTTGGCTTCTATCAGCCGCTCTCCAGTGGAAGGATCACAGCCCGGGGTTATTGATCCGTCCAACTCTAGCTGAACGTTTAATTAATTGGATTATTATCTCTATTACTTCAAAGCACATCAATATTCTGATGTTGTCTAGCATTAAATCGCGTCTACATTTCTGAGATACATATACCTGCTGTTCAGTGATGGTAATGTTTGGTCCTCCATTAGGTTTGGTAATGCTATGTGTATTCATAATGATCCAAAGACAAACAATACACTGTGAATATGAATAAGTTGAACTCAGCTTTATTCCCTATCTCGTGTCTGAGAGGTCCTGGCATTTCCTCAGGAAACCCCTCCAGCGCCACAGCCTCTACCCCCCCCCCCACTGTCCTCGCCTTTTGTCCAACATCTGCTCTTCCTCATTCCTCCCTCTCTGTCCTCAAATGCTCCAACCTCCAATGAAGAAGTATTCATGTTGCACAAATATTTCCTTCCCCTCTTCCTTCTATGACATTCTGTACTGTATTCCTTCTCCTCCTTGTTGCCCCCCTTTTCTACGACTCTCCTCCTCTTCGCATGCCCATTTCTTTCTTATTCCTTATCCTCGTCCTCTTTCCAGATATGCTGAATGTATTTTCTTTCTAAACCGCTGCTTTAGCTCTCAGGAAATCAGTTCACTCAACGTACGAGGACATTTGTCACAGTGGCTTGATGTAAACATAATCATTTAGGCTGCTGTTTCCAGTGAATTTGATTTAGGGATTATTATGACTCCTTTCAATACTGGATGTAAATGTGAAGTGCTTGCGTACGGGGAGCATCGACAGAGAGCTACCTCAGCTTGAACTGAGCATAACAAAGTGCTCCCTCCATCATGGAAAGTATTGAAAGTGGCTGGCAGACTTCAGCAGAATGTCAGCTCTGATCCAACCAGGAAGTGGACTCTATTAGTTATCTGGAGGAGGAACAAGATAAATAAGAGCGTCGGGGACTTTGAAGAAGTAATATTGTTAAAAGGTTCTTACAAAGCGAAACATAAATCAAAGCAGAGCAGTGCCAAGGAGAAGAGAGCCAAGTAAAGCAGAGCAGGGCGGTGACACAGGGATTGAAATGAAAACAAAGCAGACGCACAGTAGTTGTCACTTAACGTTGTACAGACTCGCAGCTCGATGACAGACAGTAATCCCATGGCATCTGAACACCGACAAACGTTCATCTGAGTGATTTTCAAACCAAGACAACAAGACAGAGGCGACTTAAGCGGAACAAAGTGGTTTAAAGCCATGCTAGCAGCTCTGATGACTTGAGCTAAATGTCAGCATGCTAACCTGCTAACAATAATAATGCTAACAATGGATGATTGGAGATAGTCCATTTTAAATGTGATACCTTACGATAATGGCAATCCGCCTGACCCGTCTTGAAACACAGAACCCTTCTCATTGACTATAATTTGACACATGATTCAAAGCAGGAAATAAGATAAATGAAAAAATGGCTTGCAAGATAATGAAGAATCGACATGGCTTACAGAGGAGAGAGAGATCTTTGCTGATAATCAGAAATCTTTGTCCCACAGTGGGGACAATTACATTGTTACAACAAATAGACAATGCAGATAAAAGCCACAAATTAGACCAACATATTAAATAAAGAGGAAGCACACGTAAAATATAAAATTAAAATAAGTACACATCTAGGTTATCATAAGCATTTAGGAGGTGAACATATAAAAGTGTTGAGTTGCAGCCAGTACATCACTAAATGGTATGGTGATGGATTGAAGTGAGAACAGTGGCAGTAGGTTAGATTTTTGTATCTATACAACCATCGTGTTTATGACTAAATTGTTTGTAGAGCACAACATTATCAACCAGGAATTGTTAACAAGAGCACAAAGTTCAAAACTCAAAGTCAACCCACTATTGTATTGGATAATCCTGTGGGAAAACTCTATTGGATAAATCAATTTATAATGCATGTGTTTACAATACTTATGAAAAGAGTCCACAGCCATGCTATCAGCTCTTTAGGCTGTACTTAGGGAGTTTGAGCTGTTGTCAGCTAAATATATTCTCTATAGTCCTAAAAGATCAATAATGTAGAGGAAATAGTTGTTGGATTGAGGGAAATGACCATTGGTTGCAGCTTTAGTTGAGATATTTTAGTCTGGAACAAAGTGTTAGACCAATCTACAGACTTAGAGCCATGATGCTAGTATGGTTAAACACTTAAGAGATTAAGGAAAAACCCAACCTAGCATGCTATTACTTTTGGTAAAAAAGCAGTTGTATCCTACTCTAATCTTATCTCTACAATAGGTTTATCTAGAATCTACTAATTGGCTTGGGTTGCAGCATATGGGCTAAGAGGTTTAGTCTGTCATTGAAAGAGGTCAAGACTTAATGAATGTAATGGATACTGAAAATGTGCCTTTTGTTATCTCAGAACATAATTTGAAATGTGGAAAAGATGAGTTTGAAAGAAAGAGGCAGAGCGGGGTGACAAAGAAAGAGACACCAAGGGTTAGTGTCGAATAAAAAGTCAAAAACATGCGAGAAGAGCACAGTGTCACCTGCCCAAAGTAAGTCAGGACAACCGCATGTGTTTTTATCCTGTCACCATGACAACAGTGCCAGACAAATAAGGTGAAAAGAGGGTTTTAAGTAAAGAGGCAGAGAAGAGATTGGTGCTGCAGCCATAGAAGTGGAAGGAGGAAGATAGATGAAGTGTGAGAGCGAGGACAAAGGCTTTGACAAATTGTGTGAAAAACATATCCTTGTGCCTGTTGGCCTTGGTGCTGTGGTGTGTGTGTGTGTGATGTGTGTTGGTGTGTGTGTGTGTGTGTGTGTGTGGTGTGTGTGTGTGTGTGTGTGTGTGTGTGTGTGTGTGTGTGTGTGTGTGTGTGTGTGGGTGTGTGTGTGTGTGTGTGTGTGTGTGTGTGTGTGTGTGTGTGTGTGTGTGTGTGTGTGTGTGTGTGTGTGTGTGTGTGTGTGTGTGTGTGTGTGTGTGTGTGTGTGTGTGTGTGTGTGTGTGTGTGTGTGTGTGGTGTGTGTGTGTGTGTGTGTGTGTGTGTGGTGTGTGTGTGTGTGTGTGTGTGTGTGTGTGTGTGTGTGTGTGTGTGTGTGTGTGTGTGTGTGTGTGTGTGTGTGTCAGGTACAGAGGGCAGCTTTACAGCCGTCATAAAGTCCTTCATTTCGTCAAGCTAAGATTGTTCATGCAGATAGACAAACACACACCCCTTTTAACCGATACAGACACAAACCTGTGATAAAGCACAGGGAATGCTGGTTATGTAAGGCCAAATTATCTTTTTCTCAGTATTCATAACGACAGCATGATATAATTAGGAGAGACACGACAAAATGTCATTATTTCGCCAACTCAAAATGTGTTTTGTAAAGCGCTGCCTCATCTGAAACATATTCAGATGTTTTGTTTGTGTTTGCATTTATTCCACCTTTGGGAAAAAAGTTATAGCACCTTATAGTTCACAAAGTTTACGAACATATTTTTCAATATAAAGTGTAATAAATTATTCTCACTTATCTCCTGATCTTGCCTCGCACCGAGCCCTAAAAAAGTGCACTCTTGCAGCCTATATATACACTGCAGAGTCTTGCCGCTTTTGGCAGTAATTGTTAGTAACACTAACAATATGTCTTCTGAAAAGTGTGCATTTATTTTGGTCCTCGTGAAGCCCAGGGGTCCAAACCTAATCTTAAAAAAACCACTGCTGTCTAATTCTAAGAAGTGTCCCCCTTGTGTTAACAGACAAAGAGGTTTTTGTGGTTATACATCTCCCTGAGTGTATGAACATCCACGAGACAGCTACATATCTTTATTTCTTATGTTTTTTTGATGTTTCTGTGTTGCAGATTTGAACCCACTCCAAGCCAAGCGCTCAAGTATGTGTCCTTCCTCGTAGCATGTGTCTAAGTCGAAGCATGTAATTGCTCAGATCATCAAACAATCAAATGATGTGATCACTTCCAGCAACCATGATTGTATGAATTGCAAAGATATGAATTGAAATGATCAGCGTATGTAATCACAGGAAAATGATTTACCAACCCAAATCCTATCACATGGTCTCAACAGCATCTTATATTTCAGCATTCATGTTTTTCACTTCTAATCATTTAAACTCCCTCATTTTAAATTCAGTTAATGAACCAATCAAAATCAGTCTTTTCAATTTGTTTAAGGCTGGACGGTAAGTGATTAAGGCCTGATTATCTCTGCTGCCTGCGTTTAGCCTCTTTGAACCAGGACGTCTCTAAGGGGACACGTGTAAGGCTCTTCTTACAGAGATCAATACAGTATCGCATTATCCCTACTCTAATAAGACATGATATCCAAAAGCTTCTGACAACAGCCCTAAACATTTTTAATGCAACAGCGTTACAAATATTTGATTACAGACATTTCTTTGCTTATGCAACCACTAGTTATGTGTAAATAGAGTATACATCTTAAGCCATTACTACCTTTATATGCTTAATTCACCATGTACACATATGGCTGTGCTTTCATCCTTATGGTAGTTTCCATTCGTTCGTTTGGACAAATCAACCTCACTAGAAAATCTTTGTTACATGTCAAAAGGTTAAAACCACAGATCGTTCTGTGGAACTGTTTGAAAGAAAACCCTGCATTCAGTACAGTGAGCTTGTTTTTCACTGTAGGTAACATGCTGTATCACAATAGCTCTCACACAAAAAGAACAAACCGACTCAACACACCACAGCTTTTTCCTGCAGTGGATCTTCAAATTACCAGCCACTGGCTAGCAGTTAAAGAAACATCAAAATCGACTTCCTTACATGAAAGAAAATCGTCTCTGTGTGATCACCAGACGATTAGAACTGTTGGTTACATCTACCGGGAGGCAATCATAAATAATAAGCTGCACATTTCTTTTAAATGCCGACCTTAATGGGAGAGGTGTGCGTGCAAAACCATGAAGATGCATGCAATCTATTTCTGGATACCTTATCTTGATAACGAAAAGCACATGTCAATTCAGGTGTACTTGCACGCACACATCTGGAGGCAGTCAAGCTGGCATTGTGATCAAATCTCAGCCAAATAGATACAATCTGCAAAGTGACAACATTCCTGAGACATAAATCTGCCCACAATATCGAAAGGTAACCTCTTCTTTATGCCAGCTAAAGCATGGATGTATAAAGAGAACTGGATGCAGAGTCGGAGGCGGGGCCTCAATCATTCCTACGAGGGTTGCTCAAAATATACCAGTTATAGATTCAGAATTTACCCGTACCCGATCTCCCACTCTCGGCTCAGTCTAATAAATGGAGGTAAAATAACTCTGGATTCGGCTTTCAGCCCAATACTCAACTTTGAGACCCTAATGTATAAAAAAGGGCTCTAAAAGTGTTCGTACTTGCTAGTTATTAAGCTAAGATAAATATATATAAATGCTGACGTCTATTTCCCAATGTAAGTCAATGGGAACATTTCTTTTTGGGCCCAAATGATGTCAAGGACTAGAACGTTAGTGTAGTACCACTGTTTGGCCTAAATGTGCAGTCGCTAGCAAGTCTTCCCTCGCGAAAAGAGGATTTATAGGTTCCGTTTTATTAATTATGGAGACGCCATGTTTGTTTAGCAAATTCACAATCCTCTGAAATAATGTTGACATCCAATTCCAGAATAAATATAACAAATATACTTATTAATACTAGGTGTATATAAAGGAGGCAGCTCATTGGATGTCATTATTCATATAATGTATCCAGATATATGTTAACACCAGGTAACCAATCATTTAGAATATCTCTGAAATAATCTATTGGTGCCTGAAGCCCGGGTTTTAGTTGACTCAAATTGAATAAAAATGGCAGGCAAATGTAATGGCAAAGGCAGATTCAAAATCAAATCATTCTGCTTCCGTTCCTGAGGGCAACAGTCCCTCATCGAACAGCAGTCAAAGGTGTGAGTCACTCAAACTGACGGGCAGGCCGCAGGCAAACAAATAAAGTGCTTCAGTACAACAGCAGCAGGGCTTCTCAGAACAGCTCAATAAACCATGAGAGAGATGTTCTTTATGACAGCAGAACGCTATGATAGCTTCTAATCCATTCAACAGAAAGATAAGTAATGAAGCACATGGTGACCATATCTGGAGGAAGAAAGAGTACATGTCCCAGCTTCAGTGACCAATCCTGTTTCTTTGTTTCTTTTTCACGCTGTTAGCAGTTTCACCAAAAGAAGAGCAATGCTGCTGATGCAACAACTGAAGTGTTTTACAGTTTCTTGAATAGTACAGTACATACTGTATAAAGCCTAGAATAAAAGCACTGAATGAGGGTTGTGCTGTGCTACCGGCATGTCTCGGTACATATTATACTCTACAGAAACAAGAACAAATCTCTGTTTTGTACAGAGCCATGCAAGAAATCACACTGTTATGAAATCAATATAACTTTTGATGAAAATTAGACCAATTATGCAACATCTGGAATCACAACGTAATTGCAATAACTGTCAAAAATAATTACAGATTAGCTAGAAGGAACAATACATTCACCAACATGTATACAGAGATTAGGGGTGTAACGGTATACCAAAATATTGGGTATGGGCCCTTCGGTTCGGTACATGTGAGCCCAGATATCCTCATGTTGCCATGTTAGCAAAGCGCTACCTGGCTGTATCTGCTACCTCTGTCCCTAGCGAGAGGGTGTTCTCCACAGCAGGAGACATTGTTAGTGCCAGCAGATCTGCCCTTTCTGCAAGCAAGTTAATTTTTCTGAAAATGTCAAGCTGCTTATGTGAATAGTACAGTACAGTTCAAGTACAGTTCATTTTCGAAATGCTGCACCTTAATGTTTAGTTCATTATATTTTGTATTTATTTGAGAGAATATTCACCGTTTAATAATTATTAAAAACCCCCAAAAATATTTTATGTTTTGTGATCATTTTTCTGCTGTACCGAAAACGTACCGAACCGTGATCTAAAAACCGAGGTAAGTACCGAACCGAAATGTTTGTGAACCGTTACACCCCTAATAGAGATGGATATCACCAAGGCTAAGCTGCACTTTATTTATATACGTTGAGCCAAAAGATTGATGATACAGTAGCTTGTGTTTTAAAGCACCTTAGGACTCGTGTTGTTAAACTCTACACTGGGTCGGTAAGAAAACGACTAGAGAATACTTTATGGAAATGATTCTGACCTCTACAAACCCTTATCCTCCTCATTCACTATCTCACTGAATATTATAGCACCGCACTGCTTTGAAATGTAAACAAGCCCGTGGGCCCAGTGGGATACTTTGGTATAAAAGGTAATCTTGAGGATTTTGCTCTGTAATCAAAATGTTGAGAAGGTCATATTATTATTTTTCAACCGTGCGTCGTGGTAGACAGTATGGCTGAGTGATTCTTCATTATTATTCTGACTGGCTCAGTGCAGGCTGTCCATCTTGCCTTAACTGTCTTCCTACATGAACTATTGACTTTCTGCTCATCTTTTTTCCTATGTCTTTTTCCTACTGGCTGAGATGGACTCCATCTATCTCACTGTCTTTTTTCTGCTATTGTGTCTGTGGCGAAAACAAAACCAACTGTGTGTTAAATAGCTTTCAATAACTCCAAGAGGTTCATTACATTTCAAATGCATGAATACAAGAGCTGGGAGATTGTTGTTTACCTCAACTGTTATTATCAACTCTAGCTGTGACATCTTGTGTCAGATTCAATCTATTGTTGCTGGGATCAGTGAGAATAAACTCATTTATCATTGTCAGATTAATAGCTTTCTACTGTTTGTTTAAAACATACTGGAATAAGAATGAAACCAGCCCTGGTATCAAATGAAATAACACTTAAACACCACGGGAGGCTCACAGTTACATTCAACTCTGTGGAGTTTTATTACTTTATAACTAACCCTTTTTAACATCTCATTCCTGTCACATGAGTGAAACTAGCCTCCAGCTATTGGCATAAACGCAGCAGGAAATCTACGTTAATATTATTTTTTGTATGGATTACTGTGCTATTGAGGAGGCACTCAAAATCCCTTTTTCAGCAAGTAGCACATGATGCTCAAGGCTGGTTTAAACGTGCTTTGACTTCAATATTTGCAGTGTCTTCTAACACGGTAGTACTACAAAGATGTATTTTTGGTTCAACTTCTTAATTCAATATGGCTCTTAACCCAAAAAACCTGTAAAAATGTATTAAAGGTCCCCTATTATACTGTTTTTCATCAATATATTATTAGGTCTCAGTTTTATACAAAACATGTCTCAGAAGTGTTTGGCTCCAAATACCAAACAGATCATTGCAGCATCCCATAAACCCCTCTGTTTCAGCCCTGTTTCAAAAGTGCTGATTCTCTGTCTTTTACTTTTGATGAAAATAAGGAGCCACTCCTCACGCCCCTTTGCAAGATATTTGGTTAAAAAAGAACACAATAGAGAACCGCAGTGACGCGTCCTAAAACCCGGAAGTAAACTCCTTCCGGTTCCTTCGTCAAAAACACAATGCTATTTCTCCATAGGATTTTGGAAAATAGCTCGAAATAAGGTCTGTGGTTGACACACATTTAAGAGACGGATCACGTTTTGTTCAGCCGGATAATATCCACATGTCTACTCTACTTTTATAATTTTCGAATCATAAATCTAGTCGCCAGAAGCAAAATGCTAACGTTATGCTATAAACGAACTACAGCAGGGTCGCTGCTTCAACGTCACGCCAACTTAAGATCCATATTCAAACATACAGATTCTAAATGGTACAAGTTGAAGCGTTTGTTTGAACAGTTTGCAGGAGGCAGGTACTTGCTTTCAAGCAGAACAGAGCAAACAAACTTAGCGGGAGTGTTTTACGTGTTCGGTGTGCCCTGTCGCCCAAACTCAATTTGGTGTGTCCCGAACCGTCGGCCGTGACACGCCTTATTTGGCCTTTCATGGCCGACGCATGGCCGATTCAACATGTTGAATCGGCCATGCGTCGGCAACAGGCAGTCGGACCAAGAACCCACTCTGATCAGCTGTTCAGCTAGCAAATGAGAAGCGAAACGGAAGTGAGGGACGTAAACAAACGATTTAAGAAGGCACAGGACAGCAGCTAAACCCCAGCAGGTGATACTTAAAGACATCAAACATAGCCCTTAAATGTCCTCTCTTACCTCCCACACATAGCAGGGACATCTCTGATATCGGCGGGAGCGTCCCCGGCTGTCCTCTGCTGAGAGCTCCGTGATTTGTTTGGTCAAGTCCGGTTTTTCATCTCATCGGTTTATTTGTCAGTATAAAGTTGCAGGATTAGTCTCAAGTACCTCAACATTGTCCTTAAGTACAGTGTCTAAGTAAATGAGATACTGTCTACTGCTGTTCATTTACCTATTGTGAGTCGCCTCGGATAAAAGCATCACATGGAAATGGAAATTTAGCAAGAAGTGGCCATTATTACATTACATACATTACTACATTGCTGACTCAATAAACTACACACCCGCCAGAACACTGCGATCATCAGATGCAGGTCTATTGACTGTGATTTTATAGTATGTCTGCACTTTATGTGCTCATTTCATCATTCATGTATGTTATATTCTACTAAAACTGAATCAAACCATAAACAAGGTGGCCTGTTGGGATATATATATATAATATATCTGCATTATTTTATCCCACTTTATGCTTTGCTCTTGCTGCTTGTTTTACACTGATTTGATGTCTTATTTCTTACTGATGTAAAGCACTTTGAACTGCAATCCCCTGTATGAAAGGTGTTATACAAATAAAGTTATTATTATTATTCAGATGGATGTTTCTGCCCCTCTGTTAATTCTCCCATTATCCTCCTCAATCTGCCTAGAAGTATTGTAATGTTGTAGCTGTTACTATAACCAACACTAATGCTAGGGCTGCAACTGACAGTTATGTAGGCACATTGTTATTGTTTCTTATCGCTGTGTGATTAAAAGAATAAACACAAATAGCAGGATAGGCAATGCAAAACTTTATTTCGTACCTTCATACACACATAACACAACATTAGAATGAGCTTTTATCAACGCCTACATGATGATAGCCTGTCAACATGACAGGAAAATCCACATGACATTAATACAGAGCGGGCAGAACCCAAATCTGCATTCAAAGAATACACTTTACCAAAGCTTGAGGAAAATATCTGAAATCTGGCATTTCATTTAACTCCAGCTCTCGACACAGGTTCGGGAAAGCCCCATGAGCTTATCGCTGTAGTATCCATGATTTCACCCATTTAGTGCGGTTTCTCCTAATTCTTCGCTTCCGCCTCTTGAGCATAGACTGTATATATAAGCTCTTGAGGGACTGTTGCTTGAGAATGTCTTCCACAAGCAACACTCCAATGGCTGATAGCTCCAGTACCGCACGAAACATGTTTTCGATGGACGAGAGTGAAAATGGAACGCACACGCTATTTGTTGTTTGTTTATATCACGCGGTCTGTTCTTCTTCTCTGTCTTCCGGTTGTTGCCTATTTTGAATAACGAATACACACTACCGCCGCCTGCTGGTAAGGCTGAAGTCTTTGCGGTGTGTTCCAGTGTGACACATGGCCAAGACGCAGGAGAACACGGCGACGCAACAGTCGGCGTCGGCGAGTTCTCTGGTGACTGCCTGGTGTGTCAGGGCCTTAATGACGTAAAACGGCCTGGACAACTTCTGTAGTCCTATTCAGCCACATGTTAACAACCATCGTTTTTCAGACACGTAAACAATTCAAAAATCACCAGCGGGGTCACTGCTGATGTATTTAATGTTGTAGAACAAAACGTGATCTGTCTCTTCAATTTGTGTCAAACACAGACCTTATTTCGAGCTATTTTCCAAAATCCTATAGAGAAATTGCATTGCTTTTTGTCGAAGGAACCGGACGTGGTAAAAATGCTAACTTACTTCCGGGTTTTAGGACGCGTCACTGCGGTTCTCTATAGTGCTCTAGGAGCAGATTCAGGTGATAAGGGGGGGGGGGGGTTACCTTGGTTGGTGATTGGCTAATGGTTACAAAAGCCAAAAAATCGTTATGACATCACAAAGTGGCCAAAATCTGATCAGCTCATTTTCAGACAGGTTGTTATATAAATGGATCGGGACAAAAAGTGAGCGAATCTTTTTTCCTGAAACTTTCAGAATCTCTTTACACAGAGGGGACACATGTTGATGTATAAAAGACATGAAAAAGTGGATTTTGCATAATAGGTGACCTTTAATCAAATAGAGCTTCGTTCAGAACTTAGGTAGACAAATGTATCAACCATATCCCAGAGTACTTCTCCAGGGGCAAACCCTATCAGTTGGCCAGAAACACGACTCGATTTGATTATATGCTTTTGTGAATGTTGTGTTAATATTGTTATTCTGTGCCTGTTTATCTCAGGTGGGCGTCGCCGGTCTGAGCCAGATGAGGCAGAGCTACTGAGGGTGAGCCGGCGATTGGTCGAGGATGCTGTCAATCGCGCCTTGCTACAGTACAAACAAGAAACACTTCAAAATGGGGGAGGGCCGAATGCCACGGCACCGCAGCCCCCTGGAAACACTGACGAAACAAAGACGGACACTACAGCTAACTCCACCACTGACTACAGGAAGTGACATCATTGGACTGAGGTACAGAGACTGAGTAACTGCCCGGACAACATCAGCCAGGCCCGGGCTCAACAGGAGAAGAGTCAGTGAGCCCTGGGCACAAAGCCTGAACACACCAACTAGCTGACGAGCTACCCCAGCTAGCCCACCACAACGGCTAGCCAGGCATGCTAGCTACCCGCCCAACTGACCTGGCTGGTTAAATAGATAATGTAGCTTGTGTTCAGTGCTAAGTGACCGTCCAAACAGGCGTTATTAACTCACTACATCAAACAGCAGGGGCCTCGACCCACGATCCTCACTACGCTTTGGGTCTGCGTTTGAACGTCACAAAAGCACTCCTGTAGAGACTCACATGCAAGGTTCACTTTGAACCTGCCACTCACAAAACTGCCCGTTCAGAATAATCATGTTTTGTAAACACCTGCACTTAAAATGGTACTCAATATCCATAATTTTCCAATGAAAAAAAACATATTTCTCCTCCATTTTGCTTTTTATGCTGTCTTCATTGTCAAAAGGTTACTTGTTCATCTTTGTGGCTCGAGGGGAAATGTCAAAAAAAGAGTTGGTTTGACTTCGCTGTGACAGGATTCTTCAAACTTTGAGATGTTGGACCAAGTTTTTGTTGTATTTTGTAGCGATTCTCGGTTAAAAGCACTTTCAACTGCTGAAAAATGTAAACTTCCAGCATTTACTTTATACACAACATGTCTGTCTGCGCATGCCACACTGCATTGTTGTCTTCTAAGTTGTTTAGAGAAATGTATCTGGCCCCCGGCTACGCTTTAAGTATTATATATTATTGTTATAGTGTTTCCTGCCAGGGTAGCACTGAGACAATCATCAACTAAAGATCAGTCATAAGCTCTGAATTCAGATTTCCTAAACAAAGTGATACGCTCTTTTTAAAACGCCACCGCTGTGGGAGCAGACAGACTGGTATACCTTCATCACATTTATTTACCTTCACTAATATAACTTACTTTACAGCAGGCTGATGGAGATGCGTATAGTGGACGAAGAAGAGAAAATAACACTCCAACAAGACACTACAAGAAAGCATTTATCCTCCATTAATGACCTGCTTCTTTAATGAAAAGAATGCTACAAGCTAACACACGCTACCTGCCTGACCATATATACATGTCATTCTTTTTTGTTCACACACAATGTTGATTTCTTTGTGATAAATCAATTATTTAATCCTTTCTAAAAGCGTCTGAAGCCTGGCTGTTGAAGGCTCAGGCTTTATTGGACATTTGTATTCTAATCCGAGGAGCTTTTACTCGACTGAACACATTTACAACCGATTAAGATTGTGATGCTGATGTCGGGGAGGTTAACTCAGACAATCTGCTGTCAGCTGAAAACCCTCCGGCTCTTCTTTTCACTTTCTTCCATCCTTTTATTTTTGCTTCAACTTGAAAATTAAATTGGCCTTTTCTGCTCACTCCATCTGACCCCATAGCTCATGAAATCCATTGAGAAATGTTAAGGAGGGATTTTCAGATTTTTATTTAAACTGGGTTTCCTTGTGATACTGTTAGAAAAATGATTTGTTAACTCTCTTACATTAAATATGTTGTTTTATGCTTTCTAACTATTATTTATAATGCTATGCTGTCACCGTTAGAGAAATATTACTATGTGAAAAGATGTATGATTTTGAAATGAGAAATGGAGCATTCAGTTTGCATTCAAAGGTGTAAAAAGCACAAAATTATGCTTTTAATTGTCTTTTTGTTTCGCTTTTTAATGAACAGTTAAATATATATACATGCTGTTCAATCAAATCACTGATGTTTAAAGAGGGCCTCAAGTCCCATTTTTCTGCAAGTGCTTAAGGTGACGACCCATAGCTAGCATTTTAAGGTAACGGTCGTTCTTTTTGTTGTGAGATTTGCCAAAGTCGATGTTAGACTGTGGCTAAAGAGTTGGATTATTGAGTTAATTGGAAGAAATCGTCCACCGTGAAGCGCAATTCCTGTCATTTCCACTCTCAGAAAAATCGATATCCGAGACACAGGGAGTTTGCCAGCTCAGATGTTCAGCCACAAGAGGTTTATTTCCCTGGAGTGCAAACAGGTGGAGCTGTAAAATGTGCTCATCTACTCGTCATCCTGCTGTGGGCTCATTGAAACGTCAATTCTAAAGGTGGATTTTAAACGTTTTTGTTTTTATCTTGTTTCTGTCACCGGATCCTTAATCTCCTTAAAATCCCCTTTAACACACAAGTAATCCTGTTGGTCTGTATGACAAGTCTGTTCATCTGTTTGTATGTGTGTCTCTGGGTGAGTGTGTGTGTGTGTGAGCGAGTTCACTGATCAGTGGTTCCCCAGAGAAATGTCTCTATCAATCATGGCGACTCAGCTGTGTGCGTGTGAACGTCTCCTCTGTTTGTCCTCCCATTTGTCCGTGTGTACGTCTGATGGTGTGGGCGTGTTGGTTGAACTGTGTCGTACATCTTGTCCTGCCATATTTGAACAATAAAACAGGATATGAGATTCAAAACCAATATCCCTCTCTCTGTCTCCTCATTTCAGTCTGTATGTAGTTATTGTGTATGTGTGTAGTGAAGCCAAGGCTGAGATGATTTAGGGTTGCATTGCCCCAATAGGTCTTAGGTTTGGAAGAATTGTCATGATGTATTTTTATGGAAGCGTTGTTTTTTGGAATATAGCAGTGGATATATGAACCAGGCAGTATTACAGAAAAACAAATGGTTCTCTAAAAATGTAGCTTATGTAATGAGCACATTTTTTAAATGTAGAGTTATTTATATGTCAGGGTCAGTTATCTTGTGGGGGGGGTTTACTGTCCTAATACTCTGTCTTCTGTACTGTACTTTGAAGTTTTTTCTGATGGTGTTTGGACATGACTTCTATTCCTAACTATGACCTTTTATCTGACATTTTTAACATGCTTTACTAAGATGTTTTTTTTTTTATTTGGACATTTTCTCATATTGCGAAACATTATATTTGGTTGTTTTATATTTCAACAAACTATGATATGACTTTTTTTACACATACTTTGCAATGTCTTGTTTTCTGATTTTTTCTACAAACTATACTATGTATTTTTTTAAATAACTTTGACATACATTTTGACATACATTCTTTTTTTAGATACTATGACATGCAGTACTGTACTATATCCTTTTTAACCGATATTTGTGACATACTATACCATGTAGTTTTTATGATATTTTCAACATACTATACTAACTATGCCCTTTTTTCTTAAATGTTCGACAGTCGTTTTTTTCCGAAAATGTTGACATTTGATTGAATGATATTTTTATCACAAAACATAGGCAAGACGAGGCATTTAATATAGCACATTAAAGCAAAAACGCTATTCGAAGCACTTTACAAAAATCAGCACATTTCAATGTTTTCATTTAATATAAAACAGCAGCAATTGTAATCGTAATATTGTGACATACTATTCTCGTTACAGACACACATCTTTATGACATTTCAACAATATTTCTATGGCATACTATACGATGACCTTTTTACAACATTTGTATGACATGTTTATGTGTCTATAGGCGATGTCATGGCCCTTAATGGCGAGCTGGACACAGATAAGTGGACAGTGAGTGATGAATTATATATCTTTTCTGTTTCTTATCCATGACCTGTTTCACATTTAACAACCAAAACCATAACATACAAAAGTCAAGTAGACAGAAATTATGCAGAGTTTCAGTGAAGCAGATGCTGAGACATTTGGCAAACAATAATGACCCTGTTTTCCATCTGGTGACATTTAGCAGGTCTAAAGCAGAAGTGTTGAAGGTGGCATCAAAGTACCTGTTGCAAACATACAGCACCTCTTTGGTTTACAGCACGTATTGATTTTTTTAGCTTTTTTTCCTGTGTCAAGAGTTTAATTAAATGCAGTGTGAAAAAAGGGTCATAAGGGTGTTGCCAACATGACACCATGCCAGATCTTTTTCTTCACAGCTTCCCTCCTAATGTGAGAATCTGTTGAATCACGTAGAGTAATGCTGCATTTAGTCATCACCCGTATGAGAAATGGGTGCAGATCAGAGTGATTCATGCTATGCAGAACTAACAGCTTGCCAAAGGTGACTGTCAAACGAATCGTGATGTAGCTGGAGCCTGGGCTGATGTTTGAGATCACCTGTCTGATATGATCGGAGCAATCTGAGCATAGATAGCATCGTCTTGATCCTTTTCCTCTTTGGAATTTGAGTCACATCTCTCAGTAATGTGGAGGTTTGTTCTGCTGAGTTTGTGTCACATTTTGGAGTTGGCAGATAGATTTCAACCACAAACATTTCGTCAGATTAAATATGTACTGTAAGATAAAACCTCTCTTGGGAATTCATCTTCTGGAATGACCTCCCTGCTTGTGAGAGTCGAATAAAGATTGAGCACTTTTTTGAACAGGATTTGAGAAACTTTAGGATTTTAGGATTTTAGCCTTTGCAGACCATTTACATGCACAAAAGTCTATATAACACACTACAGGAAACCCCAAAAAGTATAATAGGGCCTCTTTAATCAGTGTGCATTGTTTCTTCTAAATAGCATATTTAAAAAATAGTTGCATTGCATCAACGGGTGACTAAGGAGTCTGGGTCTGGGGGACTAATGTAACTTTTGCTGAATAATCATAAGAGCATTATATAACCACACATGTTTGTTGTTTTTTGTTCTTATTATAAGAGCTTGCTCTGTTTCAAACTACAGTATGACCGTTGGCAGGCAGAGAATGTCACCAAAAACTTAAAACGTCACAGTGATTAGTTTGAAAAAACGATAGAAATATGAGGTACAGGTTAGAGTAGGATTACAGTAGCACTTCTTTGATTTACACGTAAAGGTCAGTTTACTAGTAAAACAACCTGTCAAAACTTCTGTGTAATGCCATCTGGAGGGTCTTATTTAAATTCCTAAAAATAAAAAATAATAATAAAATAACCTTCAGAATGGCCATCAGTGTTCATTTACCAAGCAGGAAGACCCTTTTGAGTTCCAGTGTGGGTAGTGTACGGGGGTGTAACATATACTACATTTAAGTCGTTTTTTTTTAGGAGACACGTTGATTCCAGTTGTGGCTTTGGCTGCGTCTCAGGTCGGTTAAATGGAATCCTTGCGTCCCTCACTTGCGTCGTTTCCCTGCGTTTAGTCCCTCCCACAAGGGAAGCATGGAGAGACGCAAGGAAACCACGAGAAGCAGGGAAATGAGTTTTAAGAGCAATGGGACGTCCTTTCCTCCGGAGCGTCACGTGAAGCGACGTCTGTTTTTGATGACACCGCACAGCTGATTTCTGACAGCAGCTCATGTCCCCGTTGTTTTCACAAACACCCCCGCCTCCGTTAGTACACGTTTACATATACATTTGTATCATCTGTTGTAGACCCAAATAAATAAAATAAAATAAGAACTCATTCTCAAAAAAGATAAACGCCATTCTTAAAATGTATAAACGAAAAAAGCGATCATGAAAATGTTTCCAATAAATGAATAAAATAATTTTTGACCACTTTTTTGTTCAGATATATCACATATTTGTAACTAAATGATACATTAATTGAAACAAAACACAGTATAAACTGAGGAGTGACTCTTGTGAGTTTCATGTATTTTCCTCACTCAGCTGGGAAACTGCTCTCATGTCAAGAAGCATCAGATCAGTGCATGCACTGCATCGTCCAATCAGTGAGCGATACACAGTAAGGGGGCGGAGCGAGTGGCTGAGGATTTCACCGGAGGATGGTCTGGTGGTTCCTCGGTTATCGCTCCTCCATTATCGCTCCTCGATCCTCGATCCTCGGTCCTCCGGCAGAAATAAGCGCCATGGGACGCTACTCAAGATGGCGCAGACAAATCAACTTCCGGTGATACCGAGGACCGACGAGCGAGGAAATGAAAATAACCGACCTGAGACGCAGCCATATATGTCAAAATTCAGACCAACTAATGTGACTTTGTGGTGCCGAGAGACGGGAGTCGGAGGCGGTGTATCGAATGAACAAGCTAGACCTTTATTTTGCATCTGAACTTCATGTCACAACAACATGCACGAGGAGAAGAATACCGGCGGAAACCCTAAGTCCGCCTCACTCAAATGTCCGTGTGAAACAATACAGTACAGTAGATCTGTGGGTGGATAATGTCAATCACCACACAAGCCCCCCCAGAATTCACCCATAGTCAAAATCCTCGTGCCTGGGGGGAAGTACCACCCGACCCCGGCGCGTACGGACCACAGGGGCCGAGGAGGGCGGGGCCGCAGGCGAGGGCAGGGGCGCCAACGAGGGCGAGGGCATCCCCACAGGGGGCGGGGGGCGGGCCACGGGAGGGCGGCCCCGACGTGGGGGCAAAGCCAACTCCAACGGCCTGGAAACGTCCACGTGAGCAGGCTTAACCCGATCCACAGACACAGTCTCAGGCCTGCCACCAATGTCCACCACCAGGCTCTTGTCCCCGTGACGTATGACCCTGAACGGACCGTCGTACGGGGGGCGCAGGGGGCCGCGGTGGGCGTCGTGGCGAATAAAAACGAAATCCGCCGACCGTAATCCGGGGGACACCCGGAAAGCTGGGCTGCTGTGCTGCGACGTTGGGACGGGCGCGAATGTCCCGGCGGCCTCCAGCAGGGAGGAGCGCTGCCCGGCCGCAGACCAGGGCACAGTGGCGGTGGGAATGAATTCCCCGGGGGCCCGTAGCGTCTGGCCGTAAACGAGCTCCGCCGACGAGGACTGCAGGTCCTCTTTGGGGGCACACCTGAGGCCGAGCATAACCCATGGGAGCTTATCCACCCAGTTGCCGTCTGTCAAGCCGGCACGCAGCGACGCCTTCATGGACCGGTGAAACCGCTCACACAACCCGTTAGCCTGGGGGTGATAAGCGGTGGTGCGGTGCAGCTTGACCCCCAAACCCACAGCAACAGCGTTCCACAGCTCCGAGGTGAACTGAGGACCGCGGTCAGAGGAGAGGTCAGACGGGGTCCCGAACCGCGCCACCCACGTGCCGATGAAGGCGCGGGCGACGTCGGAAGCTGACGTCGAGGTGAGGGGAACGGCCTCGGGCCAGCGGGTCGTCCTGTCCACCATCGTAAACAGGTATGTGAAACCGTGAGAGGGGGGAAGCGGACCTACGAGGTCGACATTGACATGGTCAAACCTCCTCTCAGGAACCGCAAAAAGTTCAAAAGGGGCCCTAGTATGGCGGTGGACTTTGGCCCGCTGACAGGCCACGCATGAGTCGACCCAGGACCTCACGTCCTTCTTAAGCCCCTGCCACACGAACTTCTGCGACAACAACCTCACGGACGGCTTCCTACCGGGGTGGGAAAGATTGTGAACCGCCTCAAAAACGGGTCGGCGCCAGTCCGCAGGGACCAGCGGCCGAGGCTGGCCCGTGGAGACGTCACACCACAGCTTCGCGCCCGAGTCACCGACCGTGACCTCCTCCAGGCGTAATCCCGTGACCGAGGCCTTGAGGGTTTGGACCCCGTGGTCAGAGGCCTGG